TTTTTTTGCCTGTAATACAGGTGTCTGATGAAGTGGACTGTCTCAGTAAGCTAAAAGCTAGCAAAATGAAGGAGCTTGTGATGAAACGAAGGTCTGAGCTAGAGGATCTCTGTAGAATAACTCACATTCAACCTGATACAAGCACTTCAGCTGAGAAATCAAGTGCATTGATAGATTCTGGTAAATGTGATTGAACTTGTGCTCTTGAATAGGTTGTTTACTTGCCAAATCCATTTGTTTAAACCAAGCTTCCCTGTTTTTCTTCAGGATTAGTGGACCCTTCAGAGCTTCTTGCAAATATCGAAGTGCAGATAAACAACATTAAAGACGAAGCACAGAGCCGTAAAGATATCATGGACAGGATTGACCGTTGGCTCTCAGCATGTGAAGAGGAAAATTGGTTGGAAGAATATAACCTGGTATTGAGAAGCTTAAAGCATGAAACCCACGAAAGAAAAAATGGCATCTTTGAAGGATGTATTCTAAAGATTCCTTTGTTGGTTTCAGGATGAGAACCGGTATAGCGCTGGAAGAGGTGGACATGTAAATCTCAAGCGTGCAGAACGAGCCCGGGTTACAATCAATAAGATCCCCAGTACTTTCCACCTCTAGCATTTTACTAGTTTTCGAAGGTTAAGTCGACTAAGTAATCGATCTTATTCCTTTGTTTCTTGTTTTCTGCAGTCATGGTTGACAATCTTATCAAGAAAACGGTAGCTTGGGAAGACCAAACGCAGAAGTCATTTCTATACGATGGTGTAAGTTAACACTTTAAAAAAAAAGTAAAAGCAGAGAGATATCAACACATATTAAAGTCTTTTCTCTGATTTCTTGTGACTACTTTCTACAGGTTCGCTTGGTTAACATACTAGAAGACTATAAACTGACAAGGAAACAACAGGAAGAGGAAAAGAAAAGATACCGGGTTTGTAAAAAAAAGGCTGTCTTACAACTCTTGATATATTGAAAAAATCTCTCTCGTTAAAAAAAGCAAGTTCTATGTCTCTTTGCAGGATCAAAAGAAGAGGCAGGATCTCCTACTAACCCAAAGGGAATCCATTTACGGATCAAAACCGAGTCCAAGAAGAAGCAGCAGCTTCAGGAAGCCCAACGGTTATAGCATTAGCAATGGCAATGGTTCAGTACCTCCTACGCCTCGCAGAAGCTCGGTTGGGACAACAACTCCTGACCTTCTTCTGACCCCAAGATCTTACTCTGGTCATCATCGCCAAAACGGATATTTCAAAGAAGTCAGGAGACTCACTTCTACTCCCTTAAACTTTGTGGCTATACATAAGGAAGATACAGTTTCTACTAGCTACACATCGATTTATAGCTCTGAGCCAGACTCGCCTCTCCAAGGCTGACTTTGACTCTCCTTTTGCACCGGTAAGAGAAAAGAATCAAAACTTTAAAGAATCAAATGATTAGCATTAACTTGCCCTTATGGTAGATTTTTCAGCTTTTTTAATGCAGAGATTGATGTTAGAAGTTGGATATGTGGTGCAGCCGTGCAGGCGTTGTGAAGTAATCTTAATAATGATGTGAAGAAGATGCAGACTTGTGAATACAGAAGGTGACTTGACTTTTTAGGAGATATGGAGAGACAAGAGTATAAAATAAAACTGAATCTGTTATTCTTTAGAGGTTACAAGTTTTTTTCTTATCTTCAGTGAGAAATGCTACATTTTGTGAAATGGTCGTGTGAAAGTGTGTATGTTCTTTTGTTGTGTGTACGTATTTGTAATTCTTTTGTTGTGTGTACGTATTTGTGTATATATATACGTATTTGTTTTGAGATGTGAAAGCTGAATCTGTGTTTTTTCTAGTGCTTTTAAAACTGAACGCTAAATTGGTTGTTAATATCCCCATTATTTTCTCTTAATATTCTCACTAATAAAATTTTATACCAACTCAGTAATTTGTCTAACTATAAGAACAACTTTCCACTACAAAGAACAACTTTCCACGTTTCTAAGTCTTACTAGACGAAAGCAAAAATTTCACTCTCACTTTTTTTCCAAAAGGTGTGCTTTGTTAATTCATGTATAAGTGATTTAATATTCAAAAGTATCGGTCTGAATTCAAATGAGATTTTACAACTATTTTCAATTTTCTCAGGAAAAACATAGGGTTTAAATCATCCATGAGGAATTTGTTAGAGCATCTTTGGAACAAGTAGAATGCAAGTCTTAACAGTTTTACAAAAAAAAAAAAAAAAAAGTAGAATGCAATGCTAACAAGTCTAGTGAAAGTGTTAACAAGCCCATGTGTCTAGGATTTTCTTGCAAGTAAAACAGTATTAATATGCTTAGTTTGAGCAATTCTCAGTCTTCTTTTTATAATATCAATTTAAGAATATTTGATATTGATGTTTTGTCCATCCACTTTTTACTTGTACTTGTATTTAGATAAAACTCTTATAAGTTAACTTATCTCTTATTATATCTTCTATTTTAATAAGCTCTTATGCTTGCTTATTTGTAAGTCTTTTGGATTAGAGGAGGATGTTGTTTCTTCTGCTTCCTCTTCATGTAAAACGACGACATTTAAAAGATGTATGGGCTTAGGGGTAAGCCTGAACAAAGGCTTGAGTTAAGTAGGCCTAACATTCGACCACGCACACATCATCACTAGGCCTACTCATCATCACACACACGAAATAAAAAAGTTATACCATTTTATAAATTGTTAACCGAATCTGACCGTCCGGTTATCACCGGATGATAATATAAAAACTATACCGAAACTACATAAACGAGCTTTCGTTACTCCGTTACACTGAAAAGAAACTAAAATCAAATCGCCGGCGAAAAAGCACTCTCCGAGAGATTCGCCACCGTCTTGAAAACATCTCCAAAAGAACCGATCGATTAATATCTGAACACAGAGTTTTTGATTTTTTCACGGCTCGAACTCGTGAACTTGCTGACGAACTCGGTAGATTGTGACATTAGATCTCCGAGCTGTGGTTTCGTCATCAAGAGATCGAAGAGTCGATGAAGACATCATAGATCTCGTGAAGAAGTTGTTGTTCCCTTCGAAGACCGAGTTGTGTCTTTTTCGTACGTTACGGACATGACGTGGCGGTGGATTAACCGGAGTTTCGCAGCTGGCTCTGTGTTTGACCCAATCCGGTTTTGGTTTCCCCGTTGAATTCTTCACGATCGAAATTGATTTTAAAACATTTGATTTTTAAACGAGATTAGTGTGTAAATTTGTTGATTTGTAAACCAAAAACTTACGCGGATGAGAGAAGATGTGATTGGTACGGGACATTTAACCGGACGGTCTTCTTCTTCCGGTTCAATCGGATGCTCAACTGGACAAAATTCTACGTCGAATTGATTGTTTTCTTCATCGTAATCCATCATCACTGTCTCCTCCACACTCTCTGTTTTGCCCTAATGAAATCAAATAACAGAAGAGAAGTTTAGACCAGATGCTTTTTTTTTTGTTTTCTTTTTGCAGTTTTCGATAATAAGGTGTTGAATTTCGTAAAATGAATTAAATCAAAGTGTTTCTCTAAAAATTAGGAAGTAAAGAAAGCTTTTATTAGGAGAAACAATAAAAACTCACTGAGGAATGGAAGTCCATGAGCTTCGTGAAGATGAAGGAGATGAGAAAGGAATGTGAATGTGAGTGAGTTTGTGTGTTTTAAAAGGGTTAAAAAAAAATGTGAGGAGGTAATTAAATAAAAGTCGGTTTCGCATGAAAAGGAGGGATTTTTAACCCCACAGTGAAAAAAGATGTGAGGCAGAAAAAGATTCCTTAACCTCCCACTATTTTTATTTGCTTTTCTGTTAGGTCCATTTTCATATAATCCAAATGGTGTATGGGTAACAAAACTTTTCTTAGATTTTTTTATTTATAAAAAAAATAGCAATTGGTGCCAAACTCCAATACATGAAATCTGTAAATGGAGTGTATAAAAGGTAATATTTTTTAAAAAAATATCATCATCTAGAAATCTTATCAACAATTACTAAACATATGGTTTATTTTCGATCGTTACAATCATTATGCATGCCCAAGATGTTTATAAAATTACAAGATGACATTGAAAATACTTGTCAAGTGACATTCACAATATATTCACCAAAGGGTAATTAATATATCGAAACTAATGTTGTTTTTTGCATATCGAAACTGATGTTGTTTTCAATATTTATTGAGTTGTATTACTATTTTATTTGATACAGGGTCTAAAAAGATGATTTAAAGAACTACTATATATTATATACACTTTCTTGCTTTTAGCAAAAGGAGATGCTATCTTTCTTTGAAAATCCGAACAATCTTTCGCTTTGTTTCATGTCATACTTTTTTTTTTTCTTCTTTCTTCTTTCCCTTTTAGGGTTTGAAGAAGATTGGTGATGTAGAGAAAGCTATCGCTTGTATTCCGTTAAATTACAAATTTATATAAAAATTGCAAGAAAAAGAAACAAAATAACTAGCTAAAGCCGGCCGTTAAGGAGAAAGCATGAGGTCGACCACTTTACTTTACTCAACAAGCCGTTTTCTGTATGGACATAGAAAAGCAATCTTACTATAAATACACAACTTCAGTGCATGTAAATAACCATATACATACAGTAAATATATAAGTGGAGTAATTTAAGTAGCCGTGTAATTATATGTAGAAAAAGTGATGGGGAGTATTATTTTAAACTTAAAATGAATTTAATTATTCAAACACCTAACATTCTCGTTTTTCTTTTTTCACACCAATTCAGCCAACATCAATTTTATAATTTTAATGATCGTTTTGATACGGTAACACACTTTATTATTTGAGTTATAGTAACCGTGAAGTTTTATATATATATACAACACCCTTGTTAATGAGCATGACAAGGGTGTTATATATTTCTGATTTAGGAATAGGATCTGCAACTTTTTAAACTATCAAAACTATTATCAACCATTGATTTTGGACTGGGATACTATAGTCAACAGGTCCAAAACCATGGCTTCATTCGAGCATATTAAAGACCAAATCTAAGCTTTGGTTTAAAAAATGTTCAGAAATTATAGCAGCTTAGATATACACATGCAGACACTAGCAACTCTATAGGTAGAACTGCGTGAGTACTTTTGATCTCTGATAGTGTGATATGTTGTTACTGATTTTACATTTATCACTAAATGGGCTTAAAAATTAGTATTGGGCTGACAATACGAATGAAAGGTAGCGAAAGAAATTCATAACTGTAAATTAATTACACTTATAAAACAACACAGAACAGGAAAAAAAAAAACCTAAAGTCAAGAAACCGAATTCTGAGCTGTCCTCTTCAATTGTCTGTTTTAGACTTTTGAAGTCATCGAACTCTCTCATTTAAAAAAACAAAAACAAAAACCGTTATGAGAAACTTTTAAATTTTAAAAACTTTCACGAAAAAAACTCCGGTAAAATGAAGGTATGGAGACGCGCGACCAGAGCAATAAATGACAGAATCAGTCTAATCGCGGCGAGGGATGATAAATTAAGTAATTAACATAAGAGATTATCGAAGCGACAAGCCACAACGATCTCTCAATCGATACCAAAAATGTTCAATTCATCCACAAATACATACAAAGCAACCCCTCGATTTTAAAACACTTCATACACGCGATCTCTCTGCACGTGGGATGCACACCAGCTAGACGGTGGCTCTGAAAAGCTTGTTGCTGATCCATGGCTTGTTCCTTGCAGGCAACTACCGTTCGATCTTATCTGTTTTGGGAAAACAAAATCCCGGTTTAGCAGAACCGGTCAGTTAAACGTGTTCGTTCGTGCCTACTTCGCATTTCCCTACAGAATATCGATTCTCTTCTTCAACGAAACTCCGAATCTGACGTTTTAGTGCTAGGTAAGCTTATTAACAACTCCTCGGAGTTAGACCGGACACGGCGAGAGTAACGCCAGTAGAAGGCGATGACGTTTATGGTCGCTAGTAAGAGATCGAAGATTCTAGAAATTGCTTATCGAGGGAGAGATGATAACAGCCATTAGATTTAATTAGCTTCTGATTATGTCATTAGTATCTAGTCACTTTGGTGTCCAAAATCCATATCTGCTCATTTGTGTATATATGCACACTCGCCAATTTTTTTTTTTTAGATTACGTATTTACACTCTTATGGTTGGAACTTAGAAGTCGAATTAGTTTGTTTATGACAATGATTTATATACGGAAACAAATGTAAATTTCTTCTCTTCGTAATCAGAAATTTATAAAATAAATTGTAAATAACATCGGTTACAACTTACAAGTCAGTAAATAAATAAAAAACCAGACAACATTTCAGACCTAAAGATGAATCAAATAGGTTGCAGAAGAAGAAAAACAAGAAAGCCAAATTTTTCTAGACATTTTTTCGACGAACTCTTCAAACAAACAAAAAAAAAAATTAAGAGTCCATCAAAATGTATGAATTAAAATATGATCAAACCCTAAAACGAAGAAGTTACATTGAAGAAGAAGAAGAAGAAGAGAAAAAAAACAGAAGGTCACAGGTTTTTTTTTGTTTGGGGTATCTATACACGATCAATGAGAAAGATCTGAACTTTCCACTCAAAACTATCTGATCGTGACGAACTTATTGGTTCCATGTCTAGCCCAAGGACTCTTCAAATCAATCGAATTACCAAAGCTATAACCTTTACTTGCTAATTTCTTAAGAACCTTTTTAAATGCGCCTTGACTCATCTTCCTACCCGAGATCCTTGCCCGCGTCGCTTAGTACTCATCGGTAAAGGATACATCGAAATGTTCGTCGTGCAGCAAGCCAATTGCCATCCACCGCATCCCCATCGGTAACATTGTTGAGGTGTTCCAGTACAAGTGCAAACCGGTACAGGTAAACCGGAAATGTCCATGCTCACACCGTTGATCACAACATCAACACTCTTTTCTTAACCGGTTTCACACGTTGTTGTTGTTGCTGATGCTGAACATTGTTAGTAGTGTCGCTCTCCAGTTTCGGTTTCTGAAGCTTCTTAGCCTTTAGTGTAGTTGTTGTGTTGCAGCTCTTTGTCTTCCTCTTCTTATTAAGCTTATCTTCAAGAGGAGGAGGAGGAGGAGGAATCGAGTTTTCCTTAAACCGGGATGAGTTAAGAACCGGTTGATGCATCATCTACATCGAATTCGAAGTGGAGGTTTCGGAGAGGACATTGTTGTAGTTTGGTGGTAACATGTTGAAGAACTTGTTGTCCTTTGGTTGGTTCATCCAGCTATAGTTCATGGGGATTGAGCTCTCGTGTTCTCGCGGGTGATATGAACCATTCGAACCGATCATTAGATTTGGTTCACGACCGGGTAAGAACGGTTTAGTGTTCCGGTCAATAGTAGACATTAGCTGCAAACCAAGACTACCTTTAAATGTAGCAGCCGCTGGTTCATAGTATCCCCAGTTGCGAAATCCATCATCATCCATTGCAAAATTGAGAAACTACAAAACAATGCCATTCAAAAAACACACAAATTTAAGTATATTAAAACCAAATTTGATCCAAATAATAAGAGAAATGTAAGATCTAAGAACAATTAAGCAATCGAATCTTCAGCCAAACAGTTTCTAAAATTGTGGTTAAATGACGAGAGAATCCGATTCTCAATCTCGGATTTATTGAAATTCTCTCTGAAATCACCACAAGTTCTATTTCCATTTCTTCAGATCTAGTAACAGAGTCAAACGAAAAGCATAGATCTTTGAAACCCAGAAAGGAAAGTTAAGGTTTTTAAAGCATGAATCCTAAACGAAATCAAATATTATTTGGACATTTGTTTTCGAAACACACATGCAGCTCCACTAAGGGTCTACAGATCTGACAAACCCAGAACCAGATCTAAGGAAATAAGACATAAAGCATCGATCTTTCACGGCAACGAAATAATCAGATCATAAGTCAATTATCATGAATATCTTAACAACTTGTGGAGAACGGAAATGAAAAGTCGGTACAGTACAAAAAGACTCATTTTAATTTCAATAAAAATAAGAGAGAGAGAGAGGCATAGATTGATGAGAGAAAAATCTTATATGGGTTTGTCTAAACGACTTTTTAAGGAATTTTTTGACCTCCTGAAAGAGAGAGGAGAGAGAAATCTGAGAGAGATTGGGAAAGAGAAAGAAGAGAGAGAAAAAAAGAAAACAAAAACCTAATTGAGAGAATATGAAGGATGAGAGAGGAAAGAGACGGTAAAAAGATATACGTAAATATGAACTTTTTTTTTGTAAATTAGCGAGAAACCTAAATATGATATTTTTAAATATACAAAAACAAAATCTTCTAAAAACCAACATATATATTTTATTTATTGTGAAAAGTAATTAGTTTTGGTTATTTGTAATTTTGTAGGGCATAAAGATTAGGCAAATGCCATGTGAGAGAAGAAGAAGACAAAATCAAAGCTCACTCCTCCTTATCCTTTGCATTGTACTACTTATAAATTAATAACAAAATATATGTATATTTGTTAAACATTTTCTTAAAGAGCGAAGACATTAGGGGGGAATGTGATTATGTTTAAACCAAAACCTCTAAAGGCAACCCATTCTATGTGCCTAAAAAAACTAAGAAACAAAGAGTAACATAAATCTATTTACTGATTTTATTTTCAATTTTTTGTAACAATTTTGTAAATTTATTTGCTGATTTTATTTTCAATTTTGTAATAAATTTATGGAGAGTATTTTTCAAATATAAAACAGTCGCTATGATTTGTGGTTTGTGTCCTAATATGTTTTAACTTTTAAGCATTATGCATGCGAAAAATGTTTTTTCTATAGACCAATATTGTTGCTAAAAAAATTCCATTGACTTCAGAGTTTGGATACATCCTTGCCGTTGCATAATTCAAGCAGGCCCATAAACGAATACGAACCATTTATCATAGAGGCCGAGGGCCCGAGGCCGGAAAGTTCACTAAATGATCATTTTTAATTTCACAATACGTCCAGTGGAATGATAGTCATGGCCCAACACTCTTCCCGGCCTATAATCACATTTTAACAAACCTCTTTTATTCTTGCACACACACACACAAAAAATACATTTGTTTTTTCATATCATAATTCAATTAAATATGGTGTGACCAGTTTAATACTTATATACACACTTATAACTCGTATAATAGACTCTTGAGATTTGATTTGCAGCATTTTAGAATTTATGGATGTATGCCAAACTTGAGGATGAAGGCATGAGACCAAAATATCCGAATAAAATAAGTAATGATGAATTGGGGATTTTCTTTCTCCAGATAATTAATTAAACTGTTTTATATAGAAAATTGAAGATAAATAGAAAAGATAAAGAGAATCAGAGGGAGGAGTTGGGGGAGATGATGGCATTTCTTTGCTTTGTAAATTTGGAGCATGTGACTTGATCCCTCTTTCCAACTCAAATCCCATATTCATATTTAATATTCTTATTTTATTCCTTGTCATATTATCTTTTGAGTTTATTATGGTTATTAATATTTTATTTGTTTATATATATAACTAATGTATTAACAATAAGTTAGTTTCGCCTAAATGATAATTTTTTATTTCGTCACCAAAATCGATCTCTAACTTCATTAACTTGTATAATGGTTTTTGAGAACTCTCATTTGTAAAAACAACAAAATATTCCATTATATTAGTCTTTGAGGACAGCAAATAGAAACAAAAAACACGACACACTTTATATTCCTCCAACCCATTTCTCTTTTTTCAAATTCCAATTTCGAGTTCCAGAAAAATAAGACTGATTGTATTTCATTTAACACAGTTTTCGTATTATAGTTGTGTATTATGCAGTTTGTATTAGGGAAAAAAAATCAAATCGATGGCGGTCGTTAGAGTGAAGTAAGTGGTTAAGTGAGATTTGGGAGGTCATCTTAGGAAATGATTACAATCACGATCTCATTCTGTTTCTTAATTTTCTTTATAGAAAAGCTGTCACCGTAACTCTCTCGTTTTATTGGTTTTGTTTTGCCTTTCGGTCGATTTGGAACTATTGAAGCATCGTTTCCTTTTTTTTTTATCAGCAGCAGTCAGCGAAATTGTTCGAGAAAAGGAAAATAGAAAAACAACGAGTGAATGTAGAAATGAATAAATGGAAGAAAAAATATCCATCAAACTAAGGAATACATATGACAATTACAATTGAAACAGAAAAAGCATATTTACACATTTTATAATTTTAATCGTCTTTAACTTGGGTTTAAATCCAACCTATTTTACTATAACAAAATGTGTTTTAAAATAACCAAAGTTGTTTTGGAGTGTTAGATTATTTAATAGGAGAAAAACTTGTAACCTTATCTAACAGACGCGAGCTAGTTAATGAGGTAATATTTCTATGATGATTCAGAAATTTAGATCATAAGTTCATAACAATGACTAATTTCTGTAGGTTTCATGTAAGTTTCAACACTAATAAACTAGTAAAAGTATTAAATTCTTGAAGGATTTATCGATATATAATTTGACGAAGTTTTCATTGAAAATTTTTCATTGTAAAAAACTTCCCCCCCCCCCCCTCATTTTTAGATCTGTTAATGAAACCTTCCTTAAGGAATGACTAAAGAAAGGCAAAAGCCTAAAAGGAAACGACAGAGGAAGGTGGATGAAAAAGGGTCACGTGAGTAATACGTAAGGTCACGTGCGGGATCAGTCTTTTAATTTTCCTTTGATTGGGATCGAATATGAATTTCTTAATGTACAGTTTAAACTCCGTATACAATATAGAATTATGAATCTACGTGTACAGTATTTTGATTTACACAACTTTAATTTTTACTTTTATTTTCCCCTCTTAACTATATGGGCGCTAGTACATCCATTATATAAGCCAAATAGAAAAAATAATAGTTTGTTGTCTGCATTATTGAAAACTTATAGAATTTGGTATTTAATGCAATTATGCAACTATATCCTTGGATTATTCACAAGAACCATATACCTTTTTTCCTCTCCTTTGTTCCCAAGTGTAATTCGAAAAGAATCTTAACATGTAGTCATGTAGATGTGGACCAACCTTCGAAACATGATGACATAACATTCATATGTAGTTAACAATGGCAAAATTTCTAAAACTGTCTTATATATTATTGGATTGCTTTAACAATAATGGAATGCAAGATGTATTAGTGATCTATAATCACACTAATATTTATGGGACTTGAGAGTGACAGTCAAAAAGTTAATCACGCTATAAATATGTTAACCTAGTTATTTAATTATTCTTGCATCATCTAAGAGTGAGCACCATATGAATATTTAATTTTGTCTCATAATTTGCAAACATAACAGAACTTTCTGATATTTCAAATCTATAACCTGCATTATAATTTGATAATCCTAAATTCGAATTTGGATCTATCCAAAACCTCCTAATGGAAAGTATGATATAACATTTTCTTTCATTTTTTGAGATAAAACTCGTGTAGATAATCACAACTATATTAAAAATGTTCTTGCACATAATAAAAAATAGTACGTGAAGGTTCAAGAAAATCAGACAAATTCATCAATCAGACAAGATATGGGTCCAAGCCAAACATCCATATATCCAACATACTCTAAGAAACAAATGTCTAAAAAATAAATACAAAATAACAAAAAGAAAAATCTAAATGTAAATCTAAATCTAAATAAAAACCTTCCTCTCTCTCTATCTCTCTCCGAGAGTGTATATATAGATTGTATGTAATGATGGAACAGTGCAATGAGCTTTATAAGCAGAGGCAGTATAGGCATCATCAAAGACCCCCTCACTTGCTCTAAGCTCCCAACTGTATGAGAGAGAAAGGCTAATGATTCAAAATAGCAAGGAGAGAGCTAGAGAGAGAAAGAGAGAGACTCAAGAAAAAGCTTTCATCATATAACATATGAGAACTTTCAAAAGTTTTGAAAAGCTTTTGTTGCAGAAAGCTTATTAGACCTTTTCTCACCCTATCTCTCTCTCTCTCTCTTTTTATTAGTCCGAATCCTCTTCTTTGTAAAGCTGAACCTCCCACTATCTTCAAAATTTCCTCTTCTTCTTTTTTTTTTTATTTGTCTCTTGGTCTTGTTGTTTCATCAAATCAATCTCTAGAATCCAAACACAATAAAGTAAAAAAAGAGAGAGAAAGAAAAGTAGCTAGCAATTGATAAGAAACGATCAAGGAGCAGAAATGATGTTGGACGTTGCTGCTTCCAACAAGAACACTAACACATGTTGTGTGGTTTCTTCTTCTTCTTCTGATCCTTTCCTCTCTTCTTCAGAAAATGGGGTCACCGCCACAAACACATCCACTCAGAAAAGGAAAAGAAGACCTGCAGGTACACCAGGTAATAATAAAGACCCACTACAAAAATTTAATTCTAAAGCTTCGGTCTTTCTTTCTTTTTTCCTTCTGACCAATATCAACTTATGGCCTATTATAGAGTTTCACTGGTTTTCTCCTAAACCCCATTAAAAACCACACCTTTTTGGTTAATGTTTAATCAAATTAAAGACTTGTTTTTTCATGGGTTTGATATTAAAAGTTTCGATTTTTTTTTTTCAAGTTTATGGGTGTACTAATGGGTTTCTCTTGTTATTTCTTAAACCCCATCAAAAAATCTCATTGTTTCTAAAAAAACACTGAAAAAGACTCAACTTATTGTTTCTGGAAATCTAAGTAATGTGTTTTGCCTGTATTATTTAGATCCAGATGCAGTAGTTGTGTCTCTATCACCAAGAACCCTTCTTGAATCAGACAGATACATATGTGAGATCTGTAACCAAGGGTTTCAAAGAGACCAAAATCTCCAGATGCATCGAAGACGTCACAAGGTTCCATGGAAGCTTCTGAAGAGAGACAGCAACATAGAGGTGAAGAAACGAGTCTATGTTTGCCCTGAACCTACTTGTCTTCACCACGATCCTTGTCATGCTCTTGGAGATCTTGTGGGAATCAAAAAGCATTTCAGAAGAAAACACAGTAACCATAAGCAATGGGTTTGTGAGAGATGCTCTAAAGGTTATGCTGTTCAATCAGATTACAAGGCTCATCTCAAAACTTGTGGCACTAGAGGCCATTCTTGTGACTGTGGTCGCGTCTTCTCCAGGTTTAACTTCTTGTTCCTCTCACTGTAATTCGATTTTTAATCAGAAAGATTCCAACTTTTTTTTTTTTGAAATTTGGACCGACTTTATCAATTATTGGTATTATTCATGAAAGATGCAAACTTTTGGACGGATTTGATATGCTAAAAAAAATTGCTTAATATACAAGTAATTTGGCTATGTTTGTTTTGTATAGTTAGGAGATCAAATAAATACAAAAAGAAAAAACAATGGTCTAAAATAGAAAATTGCTCTTGCGACCCAAAACCAAGATTGATAGTTTTAGTACTATTTGATTTGACCATCCCTCAAGAATTTTACTAATTCTGTGTGTTGATATGTAGGCATCAGAGTTTTCTGAGATTTCTCTTTCACTATTTTGTTTGGTTTTAATTTTTAAGACAAAATGAAACAAAATTAATTAGATTAATGATAGATGTGACCACAGTCTCTAAAGAAATGACATTTTTTCAGGCTTTTAGTGGACCTAAAGTCATGTTAATATATAGTATATAAGTGCTTAAGCTTTTTCATAGATAGAGAAACCTTAATATTAAATTATAAGTTTACCAGTATAATATATACTTTGACATTTCATAACCCCTATTCCATATAAAATAATTTAACTGATAGGTTTCCTTTTTATTTATAGGGTGGAGAGTTTTATTGAACATCAAGATAACTGCTCCGTACGAAAGGTTCACCGTGAACCGCCGCCGCCGCCACAAACCGCCGTCACTGTCCCGGCCTGCTCCTCTAGAACCGCCTCAACCGCAAGCACTCCGTCTAGCGAAACGAGTTGTGGTGGTGCGGTTGCGGTTGCGACTCCTCTACCTCTAGAAGGGCGTCCAATTCATATGAGAAACTCATCTTTAACGATTCTCACGGCCAACTCATCAAATCTCAACCTCGAACTCCAGCTTCTTCCATTAACACCGAATCAAAACCCTAATCAAGAAAACCAACAACACCAAGTTAAAGAACCATCTCAACATCATCATCATCATCATCATCATAACCATGATACCACAAACTTAAACCTCTCCATTGCTCCATCATCATCATCATATCACCATTACAACAACTTTGATCGTATAAAAGAAATAATGGCGGGTGAACAGATCATGAAGATAGCGATGAAGGAGAAAGCTTACGCGGAGGAAGCTAAAAGAGAAGCGAAGAGGCAGCGAGAGATAGCGGAAAATGAGTTTTTGAACGCTAAGAAGATAAGGCAACAAGCACAAGCTGAGCTTGAGAGAGCGAAGCATTTAAAGGAACTATCTATGAAGAAAGTAAGCACAACGATTATGCAAGTCACTTGTCAAACTTGTAGAGGACAGTTTCAAGCGGTTGCGATTCCCGCGTCGGACGAGACATCTCTTGTGGTGAGTTACATGTCGTCTGCGAATACTGACGGAGAGGGATCATAGCTAAGAGATAAACTAAACATTTTTATATTTTTTGTGTATTAATTAATATCTTGGTTTGTCTTATATCTCTCTCTTCTTTTATTGCCATGTGATGGTTAATTATTGTAATTGTTATTTTTTCAGTTATATTTAAATCTCCTGTAAATCTTTCGTCCAACATTATTAAGAATCTATGTGCTGACTATAGTGTATAATATTCTAGATTCAAATCTACAACGTTGTTAAGAAAATCAGTGTTCCTCAGTATTTCTAAGAACCGTACAGGGTATTATTATTTCCACTATATTTCAGTTCAAATTGGGGGAAAAAAATATTTTTCATATAATCAGACAATCTACTGTATTGTTGCAGTTTAAATTATTATAAAACATTGACTGTTATTTCAGCCACATTCCACTTTAAATCGCTGAAAAAGAAATTATTATTGCGTTTCATTTGCCCTTAAAGTTTACAATGTCATCTTTGCTAAAAATTATATATTTCTTTTTATTTTTTTTTCTTATAACTAGAAAACCACAGATAGTATCTTTGATATAATCTTCAGAACATGAAAAGAATCAGATTGTTAAACCATTTTGGAATTTGGACGTTGATATTGGTATAGGAAGAGGCGAAGAGCTATGATAGACTTTTTTTTGTCGCGAGCTATGATAAACTTAATAGTAAAGATCCGTAGATGATAGTACTTGATCCACATAGAAAATTTTTGACACTTGAAATTATAGAACCTTGAGAATTCTGCGTGTGTTTGTTTTGTCTACAATATTTTTCGTCAGGCATGAACTGAAATTTTTTTTTTTAATAAGAATTCATACATTTTACCGATTAAAACAATCCATGTAACAGATAAACCAAAATCTACATGTAGCCAATAATGGTTAGGTTTGAAAAAGATTTCATTAAAATCCAACATAAAGTGGGTAAAGCTATAATTGCTTGGGACGAGTTAACATATGGAGTGATGGGAAATGTACTATTATGATGTCGTTTTGGTCCGTGACCGTTACACTTATAACGAGGTACATAAGCAAACATCGTTTCATCTTTCGTTAGATTCGGACAAAAAGTGTTGATCTATAATCATGATAAAAAGGTCCGACCCATTTTCAGTTGTTGTTATTACAAATTATAGCAAATTTTCTAGCTACTCATTTATTGTTTTCTAAAAAACTGTACATATACTTCTGACTTTATTTACTACAAATAAGGAAAAAAACCATTTTATAAGAAATTGCCTTTAGCTAATAAATCATCCGTATACGTAATTACATATATAACACTGGGAAAAATACTCAAATTAGCCCACACCAGATTTTGTAGAATTAGGCGGGAGATTCGAAGTAAGATATCTAGACATATTAATCTAAATAAAACAGTCAGTTAAAAACACTTAGGAGTATATAAATAAGAAGTCACTCGTCAAGTTAGCGTGGTTATCTAAGCGATTAGTTCAATACTATAAACTTTGCGAGTACCACATTACGTTTAGAAGAAATGGTCTTTTTTTCTTCTTTTATATATGTTTAGAAGAGATGATTTATATCGGTATATTCACCGCATATACATTGAAATTCGAAAGTTTATATTCAACAATGAAAGATATTTTTGTCAAAAAAAAATACAATGAAAGATATATGAACGGAAAGCCACACAAAAATAAGAGATGTTTCAAAACCGGTTGAGATGATATAATAGATACGTTTGATATTTCTGATATTAATTATTACATTATAATGATGATTCATATTTCCAACCAAACATTTTTTAGATTGGACAGGTCTATGATGTATGAACATACATAATAAATGAATGTCGATGCATGAAAGAGACAGAGTTCGATTGGAAAATGATATACCCAAAAAAATATAAATTAAATACGATTAAAATATTAAAATAAGACAATCTTTTGCGTATGAGAGTGAAGAAGCACTACAAAAATCTAAAATCCGAGGTGGGTTTGGTTTTTGTACATCTTTCGGGACCAATTTCGATGCAAAAATTAGGGATATATAGACTTTATTAATGGGGACTTGAAGAAATAAATAAGAAATGACATGAATGTCTGTCTGAGAGAACTAAAGAAGTGGGTTAAGTAAATAAGAGAGTGACAAATGCCTGCCCGTTACTCCGTTTCAACTATATGGCACTGAAAATCATGGCGTTTTTCTTTTTCTATTTGCATTTAAAGTGCACTCAATTGCATTGAAAGCGACTATTTCTCTCTCTCTCTCTCGTTTTCATCATTTGTGTCAACACGCAGAGAGGTTTGCAGAATCTGCAGCTATGTTTGTCACAGAAAGAAAGGTAGAGAGAGAGAGAGAGCATATTAGGCTTTCTCTATACCAATGGCCAAACACATGTGTGTAAAATAATGCATGTAGGTATATGTATATGTATGATGATGGTATTTTGTCACAAACTCGTGAATTTGAAACAATGTATGTAATAATGTCTGTCTAACCATGTGTATCAAACGATGGAGACCTGGAGTGCATGTTATAATGTTATATATATGCACTTTTAACACGATGCATGTCATTAACTAGCGTACTTTGAGATTATAAATTACAATTGCTTTAAACTACAACAGATTAATTTGATTGGATCATCTATAATACTAAGTTGGTGTGAAACTATAAATCTATTATATAAAGAGTGAGTTGTGTCTCACAATTTTGACACCTAAGTATCCATCTTTTTGCCACATCAGCCTTAAAAAAAAAACAAATTTGTATCTTCTAAAAAAATAAAAACAATCAATTCACATTTTCTACCTCTTCTTCTACCTTGAGGTTCAGCCCCTTTTCCAGACTATTATCTTTATCTTTATTAATTGCTACAAAATTAAGGATCTAAGTTCAAAAAAATACAACTTAATAATTTTATATTACGTTGATCACCACTGTCATTTTATTCTCTTCGTTTATTTGATTCTCATTTTCAAGGGTTCTTTTCTTATCCATCTGTTATAGGTAATGATCAAAATTAAATCAAATGATAGTGATAAGATATGGAGCTTTTTCCTCTAAAAATGTTGTGTTTCACACCCATGAAAATCTATTATCACCAGGTTTGCCTACCTCACATTGCGTCATGTCTTATGCTATAGGTTCAAGAGTTTGGTTGCTTATACGATTCTGTATTATGGGTATTTTGTAGATTTTCCTACTTCTGAACATCCAGACACTGTTAATAGTGTTTTAAAATTGTTAAAGAATATCAATCGTTTAAGGCTTCCATCTACCTTTGTTGACTAAATTGTCAACGTATTCTTTTGTTTTAGTAGAAGCTAATCCGTAATTGATTTTGAAGCCCAAAAGTTGTTGTTACTATTCTGTAATTTATTTATTTTTCTTATTTTTGATTTTTTTTCCAATTGTATTTTTGGTTTTAGGCTGCAATCTGCTTAAATTTTATGTTGTTGGTTAATAAAAAACTGGATTATGTGGTTTATTTGAGTGACATCAACGATGTGCCAATAGAGAAAAATCATGCTAATGAGAGGATTAAGATTCATGAAATGCCAGACGCATAAAAAGGCCAATGAGATCGATGAGGTTAGCTTCCTTGGTTCATTAGTTTAATTATCATCTGTTTTATCTCTCGAACATCATTAATAATGGGTTGGACGTATACTTAATATCACAACTTCGTAAAAATGTATTATCTTTTGTATTTGGGATCAATAAAAGGTATTGTTGACGAATTTAGCTAAAAATTGAGGCTTCTCGTAGACAGTGAAACAAGACAAGCTTAGTGCATCTGGATAGACTGGATATCATATTCTTTGGGATTAGGTTTGTGGCGAAGATATGATCATGGATGGGTAAAACAATGTAGTTTGTGAAGGCTAAACATTATACATCTCTAGAGATTTTAATTTATGTAGATAAAAAATCAATGGGGTAAATACATAGTAGAGTTGTAATGCTATTTTCAGGGTTTTAGGAAAGAACATGAGGATATGTTACATTTTCTGCCTTTGGAAATACTGTTTAGGGTCTGAGTTTATATTCATTATGTTTTGTGGTCTTTATCTCCATTTAAATGTTTCGCTTTCAGGTGTTTTTAACAGCCTATGAATAATATGGTCTTGGAGTCATGAATTTATGGGATGAAAATGAAACATGAATGCATGATAATTTTCTATAACAAAATCTTGAACTGAATAATTCTTACCAAATTAGAAAATAATTTAAAGAAAATGAGTATAATGAGTAATACTCGATATTCCTAGAGTTAGGAGAATCTCCATAAGGTATGTTCATTTGGTTGCTAAATATCATAGTAGAGGAGAATCTCCATAAGGTATGTTCATTTGGTTGCTAAATATCATAGTGCATTATCATCTTATAAAATACTAACAATATAAAACATATGAAATATCGTGCCTCCCAGATTTACTATATTTATTTGTATAACATGAATTTTCAAAATCTTGTCTAGAAATGCTACTGATTCTCTTTAAATTTTGAAATCATTGAGACCAAGACGTACAGACCACACAAACTTATGTCTGTTTCAACTCATAAATGAGTAGAAATATGATATGTTGGTCGAGCTTCTGACTTCTGATTTTAAAGGAAGACTTCCGGTAAAGAAGGCTTCCTCGCTAACTGGCTATCAAGGTGAGGCATTAAATACCAGAACTCATTACCTTTTTTTGATGTAGTGATAGTTGGAATAATGAGAGTTAAACAATAGGATTTTATTTTGATCTTATCCTACATTTCATGTCTTCTCATATATGACTAATCACAATAGTTAGATGTTCAATTTCGAGCTTGGGTTATGGAATGTGATTGAGTTGGTAGACTTTAGACGGCATAGTCAAGTTGTGGCAGTGAAACTTAAATTCTTTGTTGCACGAACATGCATGCAATGCATGAACCAGTTCTTCCCAAACCCCCCTGTGCCCATGTCCAATGTTCGTTCTTTTTACGGACTATAAGTTGTTACTCTTAGTTTTGACTTCAAATCATAGTTTATATGTTCAACTATTAAAACGACACACATAGCTAAGCGACCGAAAACGGTTGAAATCTTCTTCTCTTTCTTCTTTCCTTGCTCTGCTACTCTTATTTATGACCATCAATTGTTTTCTTCTTTTTTCAGCTGAAGAGATACAAGTGGG